GTTTGGAACTTACTGATTTTGTATGAGAAATTAATGGTATTAACAAGCTAAGTTATTATGGGCTCCAACACAAATAGGCAGTGACAAAAATAAACTAAGTTAAAAGAGTTAAATTGAAAATATACACATAGTGTTGATTATATTTCATTAACTGTTTGGTACTTTCATGGCTATGAATATGTTTCAGAACATACACGATCAATTAAAAAATATCCAAGAAGGGCATTTTGGAGGTTAAAAACATTTCTTGGGGCTATAGGCTGAATATAGCCAACACAGAAGACTAGTTTGGTCAGATTCCAAGAGAATGTGTACTCCCTTCAAAACTACCATGAGAACAGAAACAGACCAGTAAGATACGAAAGTGTCATTAGGGCTATACTTTTAATGTTAATATTAAATTCTAGCCTCAAAGCACACAACACTCCTGCGATGCAGTCCAAGTTCCCTGTTACATTCTAACTCGTGTTCCATGTCTTCTGTTGACCATTCCACTTTCTTCCTTAACTATCTAAACACATTTCCTCAAGTTTCCCCAGCTTCTCTGCACGTAGTTATGCATTTTACTCTTCTCTAATGTTCTCTCATCTCTCTGTGCACACGCTAACCTTCAATCTATGCATCAATTTACAAACACTCTCCAGATTCTTTTTCTTTGGTTTCTCATTTAACTTTTTACTTTTCTGCCTATGTGGGTACATGAATGATATGGGGCATAGGTTTCATTAAAGATACTAATATCCACACATTTTTCCCTTGGATATTTTCCATCTGGGAAATATCTGATATTGATGTAACATTATCAAATATTTTACATGTATCAAGTATAATAGTTTTTAATTCTTTGGCCTCATTCTTCTAATCTACCAATTTTTATAATTCTCCCAATATTTTTTCAGAGAAAAGGAAAGGAATAAAATCCAGCACTGGAAGTAATAGGATCGTCTCAAAAAGCGAGGGAACTAAGAAAGACATGCTCTTACTTCTACCCGGCCCGATCACAGAACCACTACGAGTGCCTCCTGCCCATTATGTACTCTGACTCCTCCAGTTCTAACAATACACACATATCTTTGACAGATGTGTATGATGGAAATACTTCACTGTCTTATCAATAAACTTTATTCTGTCTAAACGTCCATCATAAATTTGTCATATCAGATTTATCTACCGGAATGTAAATTCCTAAATGACTATATACGGAGTGTGGAGATGGAGAATATAGTCTTAGATGATAGTAACGGGCTGTGTGATATCTTCTTTTTTTAAAAAAAAAGCAGTTGTACAATGGGGTCTATTCATTTTTCAAGACTCAACTCAAGTGGCTCCTCTTTTTAATCTTCCTTGGTCATCCTAAATAGAGACAATCTCACTTCTCTGAACATCTACAGAAGTCGTTGTTTATATTACATATGTGAAGCTTATATATCATATTGTATTATTATCACACCATATTGTATAATTATTTTAATTCCTGTGTTATAACCTCTACCTGACTCTAAGGTACTAGAAGGCATATTCATCTCTATAGCTCCTTATAGTGCCTTGTTCTGATATGTTTAATAAATTTTTATTAAACCAGCTAAACTGTTTTTCTAAACATATAACAAGAAGAAGCTTTATACATAAAATATTGAGATAACTATTCTCATTTGTAAATTTTTGGAGGGGGACGGAGTGAGGAAGATAGAAAATAATTTAAGTAAACTAACTAGGCGATAAGGAGCTTTCTTAGGTATCTTAAGTGCTAAGTAATAAATACTGAATTTAGGAGCATAAGCTGAACCAGAATCACAACTTTTCCAAATTCTACCGGATAACCATATATATGTATGTGAAGTGTAATAAAGGAATGGGTATTTAAGGAAGAATGGGAGGATGAAAATTGGAGATGAAGAGCTGTTGATACGATAAGCACAAAATTCTGGTACAGATTCTGCCAGTGTGAAAGCCATTTGCTGGAAGTCTCTGAATCTCCCACTTCCATCTTAGACCCTCCTTCTTACCCAATAGCTGTATACTTACACAGAGTATTTGCAGCTCAGTTTTAAGGAGCTTTTCTTGAAATTCAAGGGATTCACACACAGAAGTAAAACTCTCCTAACTGCTATCTGCTTAACTAACTGCCTGTATGCTTGTATGAGAGGGTTGTGTTAGTTCTTAAGCCTGTTTGTGTCAGTGAGACTTGTTATTGTGATTATATGATTAAATTAAATATTATATAAAAAATATGAAAAGTGAGTAGAAAATCAGAGTCATTTCTACGAAAACCAAGTAGATACTTTGGAAAGCTCAATAAAAGAGCTGCTAAAAATGCTGTTGACTAGATGTAAGTTAGTCAATTACAAAAGAGTAGGGGAAATCATAAAAACCTCTAAGGATTATCCAATAACATTGCTTCCCGAATCTAGTTCAACTCTTCTTTAAAGAAATCAACTGGAAATTTGTCCTTAAAGAAACCAAGATTATATGTATGGTTTATGCAAGAAGGAGGGCTCCTATTTAAAAATAAACAATGATCCTATATCACAAGAGTGGTGAATAAAGTATATGCTTAAAACTTTTCAGGCCATATGTATCAATTTTTATACTTAGGGCTCTAGTGGGGCTCTTTTTTGACCACTGTACCGATTGCCAATCAGGACTGCTTCACATAAAGAGGGCTTATTCTAAATTTCATAAATATCTTACATAGAAAGATCTCACAAAAGTGCCACATAAAAACATCAATGTTGTAAATAAGATGTATGTTCTCACATTACACAGTTTTACGGATGATAAATTAATACAAAGGTCACAGCAGACTGAGAAGGAAAAAAAGGAGACAAAAATCTAATCCTAACCCAACTATTCAGTATTGCTTTGCTGATGCTTATGAAAGCATGAGCTATATGTTTATCAATCTAAAATATTTTCACCATTACGATTTGTGTAAGAGTCCACTATAGTACATTATTTTGTTAGTGAACATGAGAAAAACTAGTCTTATGTCCTCAAAGCAGAATTAAAATATCGAGCATTTGCTTAAAAAAAGGAAAATTTTCTATATAATAATGTACACCTGAAATTCACAGTGCTATAAGCCACCATGACCTCAATAAAATAATTAAAAATAATTAATTAATTAATTTTAAAAAGGAAAATTGTCTTGTTTTTCTTCTTGGAGTGCATTTATCAGGAAGAAATAATTAGAACAAAATTTAAAAATTAGATTTACAAGGTTTTGAAAACCTAATGCCTAGCATCTCAAAGTTGAAAGGCAACAGGTACCACCAAGTAAGTAAAAACTTTAAAAATCAAATTGATCCAACAGTTTAAGAAAATAGAGGTTCTAAAGGGACTAAAAAGCTTTTGCAAAATTCCCTATTTTTGTAAGTTTTCTATAAATTTATGATCAGGCAAAACACTTAATCTGTTGGGTCTAGATACCATAGGCAGATAAGTTAAAATAATAACTTGTAACTCTAAGCGATCTGAATATATTGGTTCTATTTTTGCAAATTACCATGCATGCTTACCAAGCAGTATGTTACTTTTACCAAATAAATGTTGTTTCAAATGATTTAGATTAAAATTACAAAGAAATGTTTCAGATTGACATTTTACGCCATATTCTATTTATGATGTCTCATAACTATACTTCTAAATTCATCTACACTTTGGTTCGCCTATTGCATAGACTCTAAAGCTGGCAAAAAATAAACACTCTTAAAAAAACATAAGAATACGTCCTAAAATATTTTTCTGTCACATCTTCTCACAAACATACTGGTATGATAAATACACTTTCCTTCTCTTATTAGGTCCTACATAAAATAGCATACAAGCATTGTGGGGTTTTATTCAAATAAACAATATAATGTGTTAAACAAGTGAAAAACAAAGCTTTTAAATTACCAAAATACTTCAACTTTCTCTGTTAACTGAAAGCAAAACACACAATTACATAAACAATAACTATTAATATGAACTATTTTGATGGAAGAACTGGTAAATAATTTCTCAAAGGTTAGAAAGAAAGGTACTAATGATTTTTAGTTCATTTCTCCTTCAAATATAAAATTTTCATTAGACAGGAAAAAGGAGCATAAAATGTAGAAGTTGGAGTCATTCCTTTCCTTAAAAGATTAGGAAAGCAGCTCTGATATACGAAAAACAGTGGGTAGAACTTGGTAGAAATTATCTGGCTTTCTAGCTTTTTCTAAATATTTATTCTCTAAAATGAAACATTTCCTCCCTAAAATTGCAACTTCAAAGATTCTCAAAATTTATACACCAAAACTATTATATATAATAGTTTCAAATATAATACTTTCAAATATTATGTTTATGTGTTGAGAATTTTCTAACCAGATGCAATAGTTACTATTAGCCAAGTAATAATTTAATAAAATATGCTTTGGTATGCTAACTAGAAAAAAATAAGAGAAATTGCCATGGAAATGTAACACGTACCCACATTCTATTGTCTGATCAAGAGTAACTAGCAACAGAGACTTTGACTACCAGTCTAAGACAAAATATCCTCACTCCTCTTAAAGTTGCAAATAAAATGGAAAGCAATGCATATTTTGCATAATTATACAGATGCTCATGTAAATTTTTTTTATGCTATGCATTTAAATACTTTTAAAATAATGGGTGCAAACTGTTTGAGTCCCGTTCTCTTTTACTGGATACAACTTAAATGATAACAGCTGATTAAATTTTTATTGCCTTTATAACTTTCCTAAAGATAGTATTTTTTTTTCCTTTTTCCAGTGTCTTAGAATTCTCAGGTGTTCTATAAGCAATGTAAAAAACAGTTATAGGAATCGATATCTAAATAATTTTAACCTATTCTAGATTAGGTTTACACTGATAAAAACACTATTCAGGTTCAATCAGCATTATGAAGCAGCCACTGCATATCAGCATTCAGAGAGCAGACATGGCAAAAACTATTTCATGAATAATTAAAATGAAAGCATCTAATATTATATCAGAGAGGTACATTTTACCTGGATTAAATGAGGCAATGCTTTTAGTGTAAGGCAAAACCAAATGCCCAGCTTGCATGGAAGCAAATCATGCCATTGTGGTTTCATCAGCAGTCTAAAGGGAAAACAAAAAACAAAAACAAAGACTCAAAATACAGAGAGAAAGTTGAACAAGAAAATATTTTTATAATAGATGATTTCTGTTTTGAATGGCTATTTCAACAAAAAAATTAAGAAAATTTTCTATGAAATATTTATGACAGTTAACACTTAATCTGACTTATTTTATCATGAAATACAGTAGTTACAACAAAGGCAATATACATAGCAAGCAGGAGAATGGAGGCTAAGATTTTGGGGAAGGCGGCTTCTAATCAAGTTATAAAGATAAAGAAACAAAAGCCCTCTTTCTAACCTGGACTTTTTATCAGTTCTGCAAAATGAATTCTTAAACCTCACGATTACTTCAGCTACAAAAGACTAAACATCGTCAGAGTGTTCCCAAGTGCTGACAAGCAGATATGAAGACTGTCGCATAAACAAACCAATACATAAAAATTAATGTCATTTGCAGTTCACTGAAGCGTTGCTCACTGATGTCACCAGAACGGAAGACAGGCAGGACAGTCTCTGATCTCCATCTCACATCGATCCAGTTCCTGCCCTGCTGTGTGAACTATTTAAGGCCTTTCTTTCTTTCTATGAATCGATAGCAGAAACGGTGGTATCTTTCTGAGTGTTCTGCACATCACTGCCTCTCTACATATTGTCACTCTTGAACTAAACACTGAAGTGATAGCTTCTTGTAGGAATACTTTGTTTCTAAAGTCCAATATACAAATTTCAAACTTCAAGAATTTGGGGGTTTAATTACTTAAATATATACTAACACTTTACAAGGGGAAAAAAACTTGTAGAACTTTTGCTTAAGATTAGAATTTGTCTCATCAACTATGGCACATTATTAGTCTTTTATAAACCTACTACAGATGTAAACATTAGCACATCTGAAATGGATATACTGAGAAGTCGGATCATATTAAAGACATACTTTAAAACAGTTTCAAATTATAAATATTTTTCTATGCTCCCACCTTTCATTCTTTTCTGAAGCACCAAGTTTTGATGCATCCACGCTCTTGCTGCCTGTCTTTTTTTTTCTTTCTCTTTTTTTTCTACTCAGCAGCTCATCCTTAATGTGGAAAGAATTACGGTTACAGGTTATCATTAACACGCACTCTTCAAACGCTATCAAGAGTCTTCTGTGAAGGATAAACATTACAGAGGGAACATTTACGCAAACGTATGTAGGGTCCAACATGACTAAGTAAAATCATCAATCTCTAACAATAACTGTTGCCATGGCATCCAGGCCTTAAACACACATAAGTTCAGCACTGTCAGTCATGTGTATCTCCATAGCAATCAAAGTTTGCTAAGAAGAGAAAGCATTCAACTTACTTTTTCTCATTCATCCAACTTTAATCATGTCACTTCAAAAAGAATGAGTAAACAGATGCTAATTCATGAATACTGATAAATATGCTTGATTATCTTTAGTATATAAATAAAAATCCATAGCAGAATAAACTATGTAGCAGTAGACTAAAAAAAGGTAATAATTTTTTAACCAACTGATCTCTGAAATTATAAAATTATACTCAAGTCTTAGTTAAAACTTTTAAAGTAAACATTCTTTACATAAGGGCCCGTGACACAAAAATTTCTAAAATCATTTTTACATAAAAAATATTTCTATTTGGAAAATGTTAATTAATAAAACATGGCTCTACCTTCTAATTTTCACCCAGATATTGGGGCCTTCACAAAATTTTATAATAACTCAAATATCATATTTCTAAAAAGAAGGATATTTTCTTCTTAAGTCGTGGGTTCTTCTTGACTTAGAAACATATCAAACTCTAAATACTGAGTACAAAGCTATTAGAATGTGGTATATAGAAAAAGTGAAATTTTCATCAGTTGAAAAATAAATCTCTGAAATTCCATATAAAATTAAAGAGGCCAGATCATTTGATTTATTACCTAAACTTACCAGTTGTTTTTCCAGGTAGATTGACCAAACCACAGCATAATGACCCACTGTGAGAATAATGAACAAGAGTAATGCCAGCTCAGCGTTGCTCATTTTTCTCACCCGCCTGTAGTAGAACACAGGCTGTCGCCAATCTGGAAGGCCATTGATCAGAACATCATCATACCTACAGGAGCAAAGATAACAGTTTTTCATGGGGAGTTTAAAATAAAAACAAAAAACTTTATTTGTACCTATATTTAAAAAGAGGAAAGAGAAAAGAATTTCTCCAAAATAGATAACACTTATGTAGATTATGAGCATTCTGATGGTCTATAAATTCAAAACGCTGTACGTAGGTCCTGTCACAGACAACCTTCAAAAAGGCACACAGCAACAGCCTGTGGACACCAGATCTTGCACTGTTACAGCAGCCCAGTGATGGGACTCCTGGAATGACATCTAAACCGAAGGAGCCAGAGTGTCTACCTCTCTGTCACAGCCTGCGGTAAAGACCCCACCACAGAAGTCAGCAACAAAAGGAAGAAGCTCAAAGGGAGAAAAACCAAGCTTAGAGCTCTGTTTGCTCCTATGAATTATACAGTAATTAAATCAAATTCAGGATAAATGTTCTAGTCAGTGCTTTTATTTCCAACCCCTGTCCCATGGTTCCAGGTTGAAATATTTACACATATTTTATCCAAGCTTCTTAATGATGTAAAAGCCTATAAAACGAACACCTTTTAATTTTGTATTGCTCATATTTGTTTAAAAAATAAAAAATTCCCAAATTTGAAAGAGACGTGGAAACAACCAATGTTTATGTCAGATTTCTCAATAAAACTGTTTATTTGTAAACATTTAAGTGGTTATTTCCTCATTTTTGGCTTTGCTGGAAGGGAAGAACATAACACATAAAAGCCTTCCTAGTAACGCATTTTAAATCAGCTTTCTTTAGAATAAAATTTCAACGGGATTTAAATTCACCTGTCAGACAGTTATTAAGGCAAATATTTTTATGGTTAAAAATCAGGAGTAACATTTATGATTGCAAAACTCAAAATGGTCACACACAAACACTGTATGTTCAAAACACGCAACCTGTTAATCTTAATTGAACACAACTCATTAAATATTCTAATCACACTATTTCCAGAATTAAATCTTCACTGAAAGGCCTAATTTGGTGCAACACATTGACCAAAATATTTTAATTAAAAATATTCTGAGTTAGTCGCAGGCCTAATTACAGGAATAGAAATAGGGCCTATATTGTCAGGCAGGTCAGTAGAACTCAGTAGTAGGTTTTTCTCAAGTAAATTGACCGATCTAGGAATAATAGCGCAGCTGCTAAACTGCCAGTCTTGACATGTAAATCAATTTAAATGCAACAACTGCAGTAGCTACTTTGATAGTTATTAAATTGATACCTTGGAGATATGCTAAAAAAAATAAAGCGGAGGATTTATTACAGGCAACTTCTTTTTTCAGTAGAAAAATACTGGTTATATATTCAAAATATATTTTATTAGCAAATCTAGAAAACCTGACTTTTAGATCCACTTAGATTATTAATAATAGTGGCAGATCAGAATAACCAATGTTCAGAGCAAAGGACATTAATTAGTACTAAATTCTTAAACGGCAATTGTGCAGCATACAAGAGTCTACAAATTAAAATATGGTTGTGTGGTAGCTGGAGCAGACAAAATTTGATGTAAAATGTTCTCTTTTTTTTCAATATTTATAGCAATTCTTGAACACTAATATCAAGATACAATAATATGATTTCATCAAAAGCTATCATTTCTGTCCTCAAAAATTTATGTTTAAATTTTTGTAAAAACTGACTCATTTTAAATTAGAAATGGATTGGCAAAAAGGTTTCAAGTGGTATAACACAAGATTACAACATGTGAATGAAGTCCAGTGAATGTTAAGTCCTGAATTTATTCCAAACCTACATTCAACTTCAGATTTGTTGAGGGAAAAAAAAGGTGAATATAAAAATCATTATTTTTAGTTAATCTTTCCCATGAAATAACTTCACGTAAAAAGTGTGGTTATTAATAAAGAACATTCAAGAAAGAGGCAACAATTCCCTAAGAGCATTACTAAGTATTGAATTTGTTTTAGGTCTAAACTGTACTGGAAGAAACCACAGCTGAACTCATAAGCTATGAATCTCATATCAAATATTTTATCACTATCACTGTTGAAACGCTATGTATCTGCTAATAGCTACTATTTTCTGCCCCACATATAAATTGTATTTCGTGCACAGCCAAATTCAAGACAGCAAAACCTCATGCCCTAAACACATGAAACAGAACTAGATGTTTACTAGGCGACGTCTGCCACTCTAAACAACCGTCTCCAAGGATTACGCTTAGAATCAATGCTCTATTGATTTTACTATCAATGAACATTATGGCTCACACGACTGGCCATTTCAAGGGAAGATAGCTTCTATTATAGTTCACTTTTTAAAATATACGCTGTTAAAAGATAAATCATTGCCTTCCCGAAACACTGAAAAAATAAAGGTATTTCTTAAAATATACACAGACACTATATTCACGTTATTTTCAAAAAATGTTGTGTTGACAACACATAAAACTTAAAACATCACTGTTATGCTTTTTCTATATTTAACACAACACTGTTAAGATGTTCTGTAACTGAGCTCATAGAAACTGCTCTTAACAATTTGTTAAAACCAGATTAAGAATGTACACACGCACGAATGTGTCATAAGAATACACAAAAGTAAATCTCTATGATGAAAATTTCACTAATGCAAAACATATACGGAACTGTAAAGGCATTATCTTGGAATTTAAAACATTAATTGATCAATTCCACACATCCAACATATGGCCTAATATATGTTTACTTTATTTGATTCTCTTAAAATGTACATGAGAACATAAAATAATCGTTACATAATCATGAGTGAGTTCCATTCCATAATCTGCAATTCATCAAACATATTTAGCCTATTATAATATAAACATTGGAAAGCAAATAAATCTAAAAACGTTTATATTACCAGCAGAAAACAATTTATGTAAATTTAAAATAATAGTATATTTTGAAATATAAAACAGTAACTATGAAGCTAAAATAGAAAATGTGTATATTATGAAAATGAATATTTAAATAATTCTAGCATTTGCCTAAATTGTGAATTTGCCACCATATGAAGTTTTTGAATTTTTAGCTTAAACCAATAATAACAACATTCATTTAGGTCACATTTTGAACCGAAGAGTAAAAATTAACTGCACAAAGATCATAAACAGAAAACAAGTCTAAATTAATTGATCTTACTCTCCTTTATGAAATACATATATATGCTGGAAAATGTGGTACACAGCACTTTATGTATTGTACATAATAGGTGTCTTCTATCTCCTAATTAGGGAAGGTGCTAAGATGGATTTCTTATTCTCAGGTTAATGTTTATTATTATTCAAACACATCTATAATTAAATTTATAATAACTAAGTAATGGATTTGTAAAAGTTTAGCAGATTAAGGCTCAGGTAACTATATTTTTAACTGGATTTGTAAATAAAATGTGATTTTAATTTAGCAAACTAAAAACATAGATTCAACTTTTATGAATACAGTGCCATAAAATAAACAACATTAAAAAAACAACTTTAAAGTTGCACACCTGAGTTAGCAAAAGAACACTGGTTAAAAATTTATAATAGAATCTAAACAAAAGTAAATATGCTAATATTACTAAAGCAGAGTCTGCTGTACATATGCAATGATTGGTATCTACTTACGTCCTTTATTTCAGCTAACACTCAGGGCACCTGTATAGAAATTTATGTCAGAACATAGCTGAGCTGCTATGCCCCCAAATAAGCTAGTTACCTAAGGTGTTCAGAAAAGGCTGCTATGCTATGCTTCCTCATGCTAATAGGAAAACTTGCTATTTTCATGCCTAGCCTTTGGGAGGAAAGAAGGTTTAAAAGTTTATTCACAATGGCACTCCCAGGAATCTACCCAAAAGAAATGAAAAACATCTGTTCACCCAGAGACTTGTATGTGAATATTCATAGCAGCATTGTTCATCCAAGCCAAAAAGTGGAAACAACCTAAATGTCTATCAGTTGATGAATGGAGAAACAAAAGTGGCACATGGAATACTATTCAGCAATAAAAAAGAGCGAACTACTGGTATATGCTACAATATGAATGTACTTCAAAAACATTATAATAGAAGAAGGTGCAAAAGACTACATATTACATGATTTCATGAATATGAAATGTCCAGAAAAGACGAATTTACAGACACAGAAAAGAGATCAGTGACCGCCTGGGGCGGGTCAGAGGGGGGTTACCAGCAAACGGGTTAAGGGAAGGTTCCGAGGTGACAGAAATGTTCTGAAACTAGACTGCGGTGGTTAGCACAACTGTGCAAATTTACTAAAAATCACTGAATTGTACACTTAAAAAGGTGACTTTTACGGTATGCAAATTATACCTAAATAAGGCAGTTTAGAAAATAATATAAAATTTGCTTTTTCCTTAAAAAAAACAACCCAGTTTGCTATTTTATCTATCTATTGCTATTCCCCTTTACACCAAAATTTAAAAGAATAGACCTGATTTGGGGGAAAACACAATCATTTGTAAGGAAAATAAAGAGGAAAACATGTCTATGACAATTTTCCAAACTGCAGATTTCTGGAAGGTTACTTATACATTTAAAAGCACTGATTTAATGAATATTTATAATAAACAATTGTGATTCCAAAGAGCATTTTTTAATACTAGTATGAGATAATCTTCTTTTAGAAGCTAAAACTCACTGCTCTCTCTTTTTTTTCTTTCCTAAAGGATTTATAAACATCAGGTAATTGTCTGTAGAAGAGCATTTCTCCTATATGTTTAAATACTCATAGGTCACCTGGCCTCAGGCGCAAGCTTTACAGGAGTGATTCTCAGCTTGATTAGTTAAGACTTTTGCCTCAAGGAAAACCAGTGACCAAAGAGTTACTTGTGCCTCAGGGGGTATAAATACTACAGCTGTTTGTGTAACTGTCAGATCCATTTTCCCTACTAACACTCTGAAATAAATGCAAAGGGAACTAATTCTAAAAAGAAAACGTGAGATGAGTCTATGTTAATAAAGAAACAACTTATACCTAAGAAGTGATTTGTTCTGAAAATATATAAATAATTTCAGTGATTGAAAGAAATTGTTTCAAAGTTTATTATTGACTTTTTAGATAACAACAAACAAAAGGACAAAATCTGATGCCAGAGAGGTCGGGAGGCTAACTAAAGCTATCTTTACAGACACATTCTTGATGTGTGAAACAAAACTAGGGACTCAGTGAGAGAAACCAACTAGAAAATATGCACAGAATGACCAACACTTCTTTCAACACACTTCTAGGACTCTTTCAACACTATGGATTATCTCAAACTAGAGGAATGTCTGCTTTGGTATCTGGACCAATGCCAACCCTTGTTATAAAGCAAAGAACACTTCGAGAGACTATCCTGAGTCCTCGCTTTGCAATCTGACAAATTGAGGCATTCAAATTAAAGAGTTAAGATGAGAACGGAGAATAGTAGCTAACATTTCAGGATATAGAATAATTCCAGATAACACATTTGAAGAAAGATTCAGAACGTCACATAGCATAATTTTTCGGGGTTGTCTTTAATATATATTAGCCCCCAAAGAAAGAGACAGATTTTAGGAGCCTAAAATCTCAAATATCCAACCAGCATGGCTTGAAAAAAAAAAAAAAAGACTAGTCTAGACTAGCCTAGAATAGAAAATATCAGTCTGTTTCACACACAGTAAGAAGTGTTCTGTAAAATTTTTGTTTTCGTTGTGTGTGTGTGTCTGTCCTGAGGTGCGATGCACAATGCGTTTCTGGCTGTGGGTCTGACTTCACGTTTGAAGCTCACTCAATAGTGCCTCCGCTCCGCACCTTCTGAAGTCGGAGAGGAAAGGGCCTCGGTGCAGCCTCCTCTTGAGTCACTGCACCGTGAACCACGAGGTAAAGACAGTACGACTCCTCTGCAACGGCACAGAGCAGCCTCAGAGGGAGGGCTACCTGCACACTCAAGTTCAACCCTAACGCAGTCCTGGAGCAGAGGAAGGGAAGGGAAGGAGGCAAAAGAAACAGTAGAAAGAAGGAAATATTTTCCTTCCACTCTTACCTTCTACAGACTTATACAAGTCTGTTCTCTCACAAATCGGGTTTATTATTTTCAGTGAGGAAACGTTAAGCAATGGTAATAACTTGAATATCACTAACAGCCTAATTCCAAAACATTTAAAGAACAGCAAAAATAAAAGATCACCAAGCACAGATAGGAACTATTACTGATAGACCAAAAAGGAACGGGCATTTGTTCGAAGCCAAGTGGTATTTGAATTTCCCAGGGCATAGACACTCATGTTAAAAATCTTATCTAATGAAGCCATGACTTGCTAGCATTATGAGTCATGATCCTGAAGTCTGTAAGTATTGAATCAACCTAGTGAATATTTTCAATAGAAATTAACGCTGCTCTGATCACACATTTTAAAAACGTTGCATTTCTTGGAAAGAACAAAAATAAAATACTAACAAATAAAATGTTTAATGAGACATAATTCTTTCCTTTGTAAATGGAGACATCAAACGATAACACCTTATTCAAAAGTAGAAATGAACACTCACCTCTGCCTTCGTTCATCATCCTTTAAAACTTCATAAATGGCCACCAACTAAAATAGAAGGATTACTTTAAAATAAAAATACTCTCAATTATAAGAAATCACTTAGGAAGGTGAATGCACTATAATGCATATGCAGAAAACCCTATGTGCTCCTATATACGATGAAGAGATAAAATCTTAATTATAAGTAGCATTTTATGTTTTTAGTAGGACCTTAAGAGTTAAAACACACTTGATATGAAAATAAATCTTTCTGAAAGATGCAAAAGTAATAATTATCTTAAAAAGTACTTTTTAAAAGCAAAAGCTGTAATTTAGACAGAAAACTATGACACTTACGGCCCTCTAAGAATTTAGAGATCCTAATATAAAAAATGTTGGTAAAAACATATTTTGTAAAAAATCAAGTTAAAGTATATATATACACATTATATTTCAAAACCAGTATCTCATTTTCAAATGGAAATATTCTAAATATAAGTTACTGTTTCTGCCATAAACATTTACTTATAAATTTGTCACAAAGTACACATAGTAACAGCTTATTTTACTTACTTGTCTAAATTGAGTTTCTGCATTTTCATCTTTATTCTTGTCTGGATGCAAAGTTAGTGAAAGCTTACGATATGCTTTTCTAATGTCTGCAGATGAAGCATCCTGGAGGTAGTGGGGGAGGGGAAAAACACAAAGCAAACTTTGTCAGAAAAAGAAATTCCCAGAACCTTGTTAAGATCTGAGAAGACAGCCAACCAAGTGCAGGACCCCAGGCAATGTAATTTGAGCAATCAGTCTAACAACCAGGCTATGCAACTAGCTTGACCCACATGACTGAACAATTATTCAATCTAATTTGGCTCTCCTCTTAACTTTTCATTACCATACAGTCCTTTAAAGAAGACAGTATTTGGCAAAACTTTTAAAACACTTGCCTTCCTAAAATTAACCAATAAATCTTTTTCGGTAATTAAGAGATCAAAAAGAAACAAATTAAAAATTAATACATCTGTGTGCCTTCAAAGAAGGTCTTTATTTATTTGAGAATCTTAAAGCCAATTTCTGAATCCCAGGCTTACCATATGTGGTTTCTCCATTGTTATTTATATTGCATTCACCATCCAGCAACAACCTATGGAATCTCAATTTCATGTCAGAGAGGATGCCTATTTGAAGGCAGTTCAATTTGCATTTATTCAAAATAATTATAATTAGAAATAGTTATGGAGATTGTACTTAACTTTTTTTTAGTACTTTAAAGGGTGTTTTCAATGGTGTCCAGTTTCCTCAGTCTGGTTTGCAGAAATAAATTTGCCCACTATTTACGCATTATTAATATAATTTAAATATATTTAAAAGGTCACTATAGTTCAGTAAGAGTACATCAGATTAAGCGGATGTTAAAATTACATTTTACGTAATCCTGTGTGCACAGGTAGACTCAGAGAACGTCATTTGACATGGCCAGTATAAAATAAATGACAATGGCAAAGAACACAGTGTCAAGTTGGATTTAAAACTTTATCTCCACTAAATTTAAAAGTTATTCCAATAACTAACATATTTATGGTGGGGCAAAATGATAGTAAAGTTGCTTATTAAATTTTATTCTTGTTTTATAGCTGAATATTTGTCCAATTAATTCCTAAAACTATTTTACTCAAAAGCTCAAATGACTAAAAAAACAGACCCAAACAAAAACCTCTGTAGCTGGAACTAAATAACTGTTAAAGAAATAGAGTTGGAAGAGGCAAAGTGAGACTATAATTAGTCTGTCAAGCTTTCCTTTATAAGCCACTTTCATGACCAATTTTCTGGGGCTTACTGCTCCAGGCTATCACTCTACTTAAAGGTTCAACTTAGGTGTGAATATTTTTGTGACTTGTGGAGGACTGAGGAGCTATAAAATTAGCAGAGTCAGTTTTGCAGTTAACATGGTTATAATTTTCATTCTTATTTGCTTTATGGAATTGATGTGTTCCCTACCTTAAATGATAGGTAACATGTGGTAGAAAAGGATGATTATTCACTGAAAATCTGTGATGAAGATTTGTTGAGCAAAGAGGTCAAGTGTCAAATGAATAATGATTCTCTAATTGGGACTTAAAGTTTAGATTTTATTAAAGTGGGACTACATCATAGAGAAAACTATTCCAAAAGTAGATTTCTTACATAGTAAGAGCTTATGCGTTTTCTTGTGCTACAAAACTAATAAATGCTCATTATGGAATATCTATGACTGACTTAGAAATAAAAATGACTAACAGTCACCTTAAGCATATCCCTCCTTCCAGTCTTGCCATGCTGACCCCGATCCTCCATTTTCCTGCCACAGTATGTACCCTAAATGTAAATGTGGCCAGACTGCTCTCCTATTTCAAATCCTTCAGTAGCTCCCAAGTGCCTTCATCATCTGTCTTTTCCAACCTTTTTAGCGTTATCTTCCACCATCTTGGTCCATCCTCCTGGTCCCCCAGATCATTCCATGTTGGAATGCAGTTCCCCAGCCTCATGTTTTTGTTTTGCACACAGCTGTATATGCAAACAGTTCCCTCCTGATGAAGGAAATGATCTCTCAGGCTACACACAAATATTGCCTATTTTCCTCCTTAGAACCTGCTCAGTAGGGTTATTTCACCAATAAGCTCCACCCTAAGTGGGCAGAACTGAAAAACTTGGAGATTTCCCTATCTATAAAAAGAGGCTCTAAATAAGTCATACTTCAAACTACCTTATGTATGTGTCTCATTTTAGTTAGTTACTTAATGAACCTTAACTTATGTTATCCTCATAACAGACCTATGAGTTAAGTATAGTTGTCATCAGGCCCATTTTACTGGCGGTAAGTGAGGCAGGGAGAGGTTAAGTAACTTTCTCAAGTTTATAGTGCTGGTAAATAGACAGAAATAGAGTTCAAATCCAGAAAATGTTGTGTGAGAATCAGAGCTCTCTCTGTCTGCTCTTTAGATTCAGTCAATAGGTTTGGGCTGAGTCACTTCACAAGGGGCTACGGCTTTGGGAAGATAGTGAGAACTATTACATTCTTATTGATCTGATAAACTACATAGAACGTATCCACATAACTACATGTGAATATGGTCAATCGTAGTTTTAAAGAGAAAGACCCTGATATGCGTGGGCTTTTCTAATACATTTTACATCACATTTAACAAAAACCTGGGCTGGCCCCATGGCTGAGTGGTTAAGTTCGCAGGCTCCACTGTGGCAGCCCAGGGTTTCACAGGTTCGGATCCTGGGCACGGACATGGCACCGCTCGTCAGGCCACACTGAGGTGGTGTCCCGCATGCCACAACTAGAAGGACTTACAACTAAGATATACAACTACGTACCGGGGGGATTTGGAGAGATAAAGCAGGAAAAAAAAAAAAAAAGAAAAGACTGGCAACAGTTGTTAGCTCAGGTGCTAACAAACAATCTTTAAAACAAACAAACAACAAAAAAAGCCTATGAAAGTAATATGTTTGTCAGAATTGAAACAATGTGATGAGATGTCAGAGAAAAAGTAGAACAGGGAACTCCAAGGTCCTGTCCCTGCACAGAAACAGCAAATAACCTGGCAAAAACTGTGAGAATCAACTGTATCCAGACTCTGGAAACTAGTCAAAGGTTTACAGCAATCAGGCAACCACTTAATAAGGAAAACTGCAGCTGCTCCACGGTAACAGTCTTAAAGGCACCAGTCTGAGTCCTTGGTGTGGGTTCCTGGTGCTGGAGGAAGCAGAGCAGACCCTGTTCTCAAAGAACCAGGGTTGTTTATTTTGGCCTGTCTGTTGGTTCCCTCACGGACTGTGTAAAGACCTTACCTTTATTTTACCACACTCAGAACTCTCCCAGGGCAGAGAGGCAACCATCCAGGCCGTTTGTCAAAAACACTTAACAGTAAATTTATTAGCTGGTGCCAAATGAGGCAAGGGATAGCAGTGGGGGCACAAAATAGACAAACGGAAAAGCTTGGAAGGAAAGACTGGGGAGTGAGATGCTTTGGGAATATGGGCTTTGAAAAGTTCCCACATATTCTGAGGCCACGTGTGTGCCCAAGGTAGAGTACACACTCAGGAAGACCTGGGGAAGGCCTTAAATTCTCACCTCTGGCTGATCTTCAGGCTCTGCAAATCAGAAAGGAAAGGCAAAAAAAAAAGAGCTGTAAACTACCTAAGTGAGTATTGAAGCCATGCGCCAACATATCCACAGAACCTACTGGCAAAGACTTGGAGTTGTGGTTTTTTCCCCCTTGTTCCAAGCCTTTAAAGAAATCTCTGCTGAATCATTAGCTGACCCCTAGGCTAATCAGACTTCAGTGGCCCCACATGGCAAAGAACATACACTTTACAAAAGTAGTTCAGAAAAGTCACTAGACAAACAAACACCACCAACCAAAAGCAGAAAAAATCAAACCAACCAAAACCCTGGGGAGGTGGGACAATCTGATTACCACAATATATATTCAAAATGTCCAATATTAATTAAAAATTACAAAGTTGCAAAGAAACAAGAAAGTCTGGCCCACACACAGGGAAAAAAAGAAATAGAAATTGTCTCTGAGGAAGCCCAGACATAGGACTTACTAAACAAAGACTTTAAATCAACTATTTTAAATGTGCGCAAGAGCACATACAAAGAACTAAAGGAAAGTATGTGAATGATGTCTCACCAAATACAGAATATGAACACAGAGAGAGAAATTTTAAAAAGGAAGCAAAGAGAAATTCTGGACTTGAAAAATACAATAACTGAAATAAAAAAAATTCACTAGGGGGCTCTGAAGTAGATTTGAGCAGGCAGAAGAGAGAATCAATGCCCTTGAAGATAGGTCAGTTGAGATTATCCAATATGAGGAGCAGAAAGAAGAACGAACAAAAATGAACAGAGCCTAAGAGACCTGTGGGACACCATCCAGAGTATCAACACTCACTTTATCAGAGTCCAAGAGGTAGGAAAAAAGAGTGGCAGAAAAAATATTTGAAGAAAATATGGCTGAAAACTTTCAAAATTTGATGAAAGATTTGAATCTACACATCCAAGAATCTCAAGAAGTCCTACGAAGGATAAACTCAAATAAAATCAAATTATTGAAAGACAAAGAGAGAGAATCCTGAAAGCAGCAAGAGAGAAGCAACTTGTCATGTACAAGGGAGTCTCAATAACATTAACAGCTAATTTCTCATCAGAAACCACGGAGGCCAGAAGGTAGTGGAATGACATATCCAAAGTGCTAAAAAAAAAGCCTCCCTGTCAACCAAGAACCCTATATCCAGCAAACTATCCCTCAAAAATGAAAGAGAAATTAAAATATTCCAATGAAACAAAAACTGAGAATTCACTGCTAGCAGACTTGCTCTCCAAGGAATGCTACAGGGAATCCTGCAGGCTGAAAGAAAAAAATACTAGGCAGTAACTCAAATCTATATGAAGAAATAAAGAACACTGGTAAAGATAACATATAGATAAAGTCAATATTAACGTATTTTTGGTTAGTAACTCCAATTTTTTTCTATACAATTTAAAAGACAAGTGCAAAAGCAATAATTATAAATCTATGTTATAAGTAAAACATAATATAAATCTATGTTTACTCACATATATGTATAAAGATGTAATCTGTGACAATAACTACATAAGGAAGGGGGAACAGAGCTATATA